TCCTTGAGAGTCTTCTTCTTTTTTACTGATTCTCCCCTTTACCAAGATTTCTTTCTCAAGGGACTGGTCCCTTCCTAATAGTGTGTGCAAAGTGCAGGAAATAAAGTTTCATTATCCTCATTTTTCCCCCCATTACCCTCATTTTTAAAGAACAAGATGGTTGCACTTCCTCCAAGAGAGATCTGTCTGTTCTTTTGGCAGTCAGGGGTACACTTAATATTCTTCACCAATGAATATCACAATCCAAAATCATTGACAGGAATGAACTATTTCCAGCAATAGAAAGTGTGCATACAAGATGGATGAATCTCACAATAATTATGCAGAATGAAAGAATCCATACCCTCCTTCTCTGAAAAATGGATATAGTTATTTACATATATTTTTCATTTATATACATTTTTAGAGAATTGGAAATGAACCTATGGTGACATAAAGCACATCAGTGGTTGTCTGGAAATGATGTAAGGTGAAAAGGGCTAGGAAGGAGGAATTACCAGGGGTACAATGAAAATTTAGGACATGTTGTATATGTTAATTATCTTAATTGTGGTGATATTTCACAAGCATACAAATATGACAAAGAAAAGTAACCTGACAGAGGGCAGAAATTATCTAACAATATCATTACTATCATATGCAAGCAAAATTCTGCTGAAAATTATCCTAAAACAACTGAAGCAGTACATCAATAGAGAACTGTCAGATGTGCAAGCTGGGTTTAGAAGATGCCATGGTACTAGGGATATTATAGCTAATGTTAGAGGGGATATTGGCTGAAAGAAGGGAGTACCAGAGAAATGTCTATCAGTGTTTCTTTGATAGTGCAAAGGTGTTTGACTGTGTGGATCACAACAAACTGGCTGACTTTGAGAAGGGTGGGAATCCCAAAACACTTGATTGTGCTTATACGAAACATATACTTGGACCAGGAGGCAGCTGTCAGAACCGAGCAAGGAAAGACTGCATGCTTCAAAATTGGGAAGGGTGTATGCCAGGGATGTGTCTTATTGCCATACCTTTTAAATCTATATGAAGAACAGATCATCTGGAAGGTGGGCTCTATGAGGAGGAATGTGGCATCGGGATTGGAGTAAGACTCATCAACAACTTGTATTATCCAGATAACACAACCTTGCTTGCTGGAAATGAGGAGGACCTGAAGCGCTTGCTGCAGAAAGTCAAGGACTGTATCCTGCATTACAGATTGAAACTCAGCATCAAGAAAATAAAGATTCTCACCACTGGGCCGATTGACACCATTATAATAGATGGCTAAGAGATAGAAATTTTTAACAGCTTTAGTTTGCTTGGCTCCACAAACAACATTCTTGGTACCCGCAGCCAGGAAATAAAGAGACAAATTGCATTGGGTAAGTCAACATGTCAGAGACCTCTCCAGAGTACTGAAGAGTGATGGTGTCAGTCCAGAGACTAAGGTGTGCCTGATCCAAGCCATAATCTTTGTAATTGCTTGTTATATGTCTGAAAGCTGGACAATGACTAGGGATGAGAGAAAGAGAGTTGATGCCTTTGAATTGTGGTGCTAGAGAAGAGTGTTGAATATACCATGGACTACCAGGAGAACAAACATGATCATCCTAGAGAGGGTGAAACCAGGCTGCTCCTTGAAGGCAAGGATTCTGAGTCTTCATCTGACATACTTTGGACATGTTGAAGGTGAAACCAGTCCTAAGAGAGGGACGTCATGCTTGGAAGGGTGGAGGGACGTGCAAGAGAGGAAGACCCTTGATGAGACTGATAGATTCAGAGACTGGGGTAATGAGGGTAGGTGTATCAGAGACAGGAAAGTTGTCGGGATAGAGCAGGTTTCAGGGCTATTGTACATAGAGTCGCTATGTGTCTCCAGCAACTCAATGGCACATTAACAATAACATACACATGTCAAAACTTATCAAATTATTTATATGTATATATACAGGGCAGAGTTCAGAGCTAGTGTACATAGGGTCACTATGAGTCACTGGTGACTCAATGGTACATAACAACAACATGCCACTTATGTCAGTTAAATCTCAATAAAGCTACTTTTTGTACTCAACTTATCACCATTGACTCATAAGTCATTTCCCAGTTAAGTTTCCAAAATTGTAAACAGAATGGGATTATTCATCTTTCTCCTGGGGAGCTACTTGTGGATTTGAACCATCAGAAGTGTTAGAAGCACAACTACAGACTACATCACAAGAGCTCCACTTGTTTCTTAAAAACACAACAAAAGAGAGCGGAGGGGACACATGGTTTAGGAAGGACAGTCGTTCTCACCCTTGGTTTCATATTAGAATTCCCTTGTTGATGTTATTGTTGTTGTTTGGTGCCATCGAGTCACCTGCAACTCATAGCAATTCTATGTACAACAGCTCTGAAGCCTGCCCTGTCCTGAGCCAGTCTCACAGACACACCTACCCCCATTGCCCCACTTACTGAATCAATCTATTTCACCAGAGGTCTTCCTCTCCTGCACTGTCCCTCCACCCTTCCAAGCATGATGTCCTGATGTGCTTTCCAAGGACTGGTCCCTCCTGGCCACATGCCCAAAATATATGAGATAGAGCTTGCAAATCCTAGTCTCCAAGAAGGAAGTTGGTTTCACCTTCTCAAAGGTAGTGGGATTCGACATGAAGGCAGAATCGAGGTTTAGAAGGAAGGGTTACCAAAATAGGCAGATAACAAGGAAAGACAAATTGTGTCCATGGGATGAACAAATGTAAATTGGAAGTTCATCCTATCTCTAACAAAATTAGAATCTTAGATCTTGAGGAGATGGTGGGTAAAATCATCTGGGTCTCTGGCCAGATAGTTTTTTCATTCTCTTTTTCTTTGAAGCAGGGTGGGTGAATCTCGACAGGGTCTAGGAAATTTCCACTGTCATTAAACTATGGTGGAGTTGTTTTAAAAACTTCTGTCTTTAGAGATTGGAGGAAGGAATTCCTTTCTACAGGAAGTAGACAAGGCCTCAGTCCTTCTACTGAAGCTACTTTGCATTGGAGTCCATCTGAATCTCCTCGGGAGCAGATGCCCAGAGTAACTTAAAAAGTTCCTCAGAACAACTATGAGATATCATCTCACCCCAGTAAGAATAGCAAAATTTAACAGAACAGCAAACAACAAATGCTGCCAAGGTTGTGGAGAAACTGGAACCCTTATTCACTGTTGGTAGGAGTGTAAAATGGTGCAACCACTATGGAAGGCTGTATGGCGCTTTCTCAAAAAGTTGTAAATAGGAATCCCATTTGATCCAGCAATTCCACTACCAGGAATATACCCTTAAGAAACCATAACCCCCAGCCAAACAGATATGTGCACACCCATGTTTATCGTAGCTTTTTTCACAATAGCAAAGAGTTGGAAACAATCTAAGTGCCCGTCAACAAATGAATGGATAAAGAAGCTCTGGTATATTCATACAATGAAATACTATGCTGCATTGAAAAAACAAGGAACTCATGAAACATTATGGAGGACATTATGCTGAGTGAAACATCTCAGTCATAAAAGGACAAATATTGCATAGTGCCACTGTTGTAAAACAGGACTGACATCAGGGTTGGGGGGTGACAGAGAAAGAGGGGATAAATAATGTATACTGCATTGAAACAGATGAGGGAGAGAAGTGTTTAAAAGCAATATATCATTAGGTATGATTATCATGGCAAGAGTCCAGAATGAAGGCTGCATAGTGGAGTGGACTTAAGGGGAGGCATTGTATAACAATGAAAGAATTTTTCTTTTACTTTTGAAAGAGAAGAGTGGATTAGGGAGGGGTGGGCAGGGAGAAAAATGCAACAATGTATTAATAGAAATCCAAAGTCTCTGTAAAAGTTCATTAAAATTGCTAATAATAGTAAAAACTTTCATTAAAACTTATTTTTTAAAAAGTTCCTCAGACTCCCAATATCTCAAAATGACTGTTAACCCACGATTTAAAATGCTCCCAAATCCTCACAAACGCCAAACAATCCCCAAATTTTCAAGTAGGTGGAGAAGGATAACAAGGTTTAATGAATAAAATGATTTCTGATGCCAGTTAATCATACAGAAGACAATTCCAAGGGTGGGGCAGGTCCAGAGAGAGAGAGATGAGCAAAATAGTACCTTCAACACAGAAGGGAGTACTTGGATGTCACAAAAAGTTAAAGTGTTTGGTTGCTAATGAAATGTTAGAGATTTGAGTCCACCTCAAGTGAGTGCATCAGATGTGGTGAGGACAGGACAGGACAGGGTTCAGGTCTACTGTTCACAGAATCGCTATGAGTCATGCTCAACTTGATGACACCTGACAACAACAACAACAGAGGCACCTCAGGAGAAAGGCCTTATCTACGTAGGAAAAATCAGCCACTGGAAACCCTGTGCTACTCTGACACACGTGGGGTCGCCATGAATTGGAATCAACTCAACAGTGACTGGTTAGTCAAGGAAAAGGAGGGGTGCTGAAGGGATATAAGCAAAGAATTCTAATAACTAATAACAGTCGTTCAACAAGGATCAACAAAGTCAAGGTCATCCCCTCTCCAGCAATGAGACTTTGTCCCTTCCAGGGCCCCTTGATACCTCTGCCACCCCCGCTCATGACGTCATGGAAACACCACAGTTTCTGTGTAGTTCAGCTCCTGCACTCAGCAGCTCGCCGTTAGCTGTGGTGAGGCTGCTGAAACCTTGGAAATGTTCCTACAGAGGACTAGAGTCAACAAGCAGTTGAGCAAGTGTAGAGGGGCACAACTTGGATCCTCCACCGCAGTGAATTCCCTAGATTAAAAGAATGAGGAGCCCACCTGCCACACTTTGTCCATGAGGATGAGAAAAAGAGAAAAGATGAATGAAAGACAGCTGAATAGGGTGAGCAGAGCGCGCCAAGGCAGGTCAGGGCCCACCTCTCGCCAAAGAGACTGCTGAGTGAGAGCATACATTTTTATCTGCTGAGGAAGGAGAGAAGGTCCTGTTGACACATGACACTCTTATATGAGGCAGTCTCAGGTTCACTTGTTCCGAGGCCAGTTTCCTCCAAGATGGCTGTACTGAGCATCCTCCCGCTCTCTGAGGGGCTAAAAGATGAGACCATTGGAAAATGAGGCAGGGTCCTTTCCCAGGAAGGACTCCAGCATGCCCCAGAGGTGAGAGTTCATGCCTGATCTTTCTAGATCCCCCGCAATGATCTCCCCACCATAACCTGTCACACAGACACATAAAATCAAGAAACTTTCCCTCCATCCTCACTCACCCTTCCTCCCACTTCTCCTCAGGGCTCACCTGATACAGCTGATCATTCCTCAGCAAAGCTTGACTGTCAGCAACTAGAAGAACCAGGGAGAGAGTTATCAAGGGCCTGGTAGGACCTGAAGGACAGGGGAACCCCATAGACACTGCTAAGCAGGATTACAGGCTGTCATGTTTTTGCAGACCTCCTGGAGTCTGCGTGAACAAATAGTCACACGAGTTCTTTAAATAACTAGTAAAAAGAATCTTTAGGAGATAAGAGAGTAACTCCTGGGTGCGATTGAAGCTCATTATTAGCCTCATTCCCTAGCAGGAGTATGAGCTGATTAGCACACTCTCACTCACACACATTAACCCCTGCACTTACCTCCAGAGAGCTTTCCAGTCTCATGTCCAGCAAAGCAGTAGACCCCTAAAGCGAGGAGCAGAGTGGCGATGATGTCAGTGACAATGATGCCCGCCAGGGTGGCTGAGTCCAGCTCCACACACTTCTGACACACTGAGAGAAGGGAGGGGAGAGGAGAAACACAGAGGCTTCAGGAGCGGGACGTCCACTCTGCCTCAAAGATCAGCTCTAGACTCTATCATGCCAAGACTCAGACTATTGTAAAAGAAAGAGGCCTAAAGATGCCGTATGTCCTCCTCGGCCCTTCATCCCAAGAAATCTCGGCAAGTAGTCTCAGTTTTATGGGACTGTGGACAGGATGATGGACCAAACCACACTCTCATCCAAGTCTCAGACCCTTACTGCTCTCCTTCATCCTCACTTAGAAAAGCTCTCTCTCTCGCTCTCTCCTACTTTCTCTCTTGTTCTCTCTCTGTGCCTCTTTCTCTTTCTCTTACTCACTCTCTCTAAGGCCACCAAAATCTGAACTCCTATCATCACAAAAGACTGGCTCCATAGTATATTGAACCACAACAGCGCCAGCCAGAAAACTCTCATGTCCCAAAATTCCATTAATTTCAACCTAAAAGGTCCAGGAGGCACATACTTCGATAGTGTACTTGCGTAAAAGATTGGCCTTTCGTCCCATTACACTCATATATTCCACGTGGGTCCTGGATGCGTTTTCCCAAGTTCAGCTTTGTTTTGTCTGGCGACAGAATTCCCTGTGTTGCGGCTGTCTCAATGAAGTTGCCATCACAACTCAAAATCACTTGGTCTTCATGTTCCTCCACAACTATCTTCAAGAAGCTTACTAAGGAAAAAGAGGAGGAATACCACAATTAGTATTTGCTCTTTGTTTTGCACCAGACTATTCATTCTGGGAGAGACAGTGCCACAAGAAAAGGTTTTGGAATGCTCCCCACGAACTAGAGAGGAAAACCCAAGAATGCAAAGGATAGGTCCTGAGGGGCATAGAGCCAAAGAGGAGATGTTTGGCTGAGAACCTTCCTAGAAATGAGCTCAGATCACTGATTGGAAGAAGAAAGGAAGCCTGGATGACTGAAACACCTTAGATATGTGGAAAAACAGAAGAACATCCCTCAGTTGGGGATATCCCCATTTTTTGTCCAAGAAAACTTCTAATTCTACTTCCCAGACATCTGTATTAATCCCATCTCAATTTCTCATCCTCTTTCCTCCTCACTATCCTATATCCAACAATAGTTACTAAGGGCATGCAATAAACTGCATGTTCAGTAATTCAGAAAGTGTCAAGGGCAAACCCCACATAAACATTTTGAGCTGTTCTGCTCTTGCTGAGTGGAGAATGAGAACGTTTGTATCAGGTCCACTCTTGGGACTCCAGCCTCTGGATGTCACCTAAGTCAAGTTCAGTGGAGTGAAGGGGTAAGAGGTTAGACCAGGACCTTTCTGGATCCACTGACTTGCTCTAACAGCTTTGAAAGAATCTCCATAGCCTACTAGAATCAGTGTTCTGCATTCTAGGAAAAAGTGGAATTTATGTGCTCCCTTCATACACTATTGACAACATGGATCCAAGAGCATCTTCTAAAAACCCCCAAAGAGCAGGCTCTCATCTCTCTGCAGCAGAGAGGTATGTATGTACATCAGATGCTTCATATCCTACAAGTATGTGTTCCTGGTAGAAATCCCAGTGTCCTGGTGTATCTGACTATTAAAATGATCAATCATCCAGTGTGCCTAGGACATGCAACCTGAAAATCAGGGTTTAGATCCAAGACAGTTCCAAGTAAATTGGGGGAAATTGTTCATGCAGTTCTTAAACATGCGTGTCAGCATCCCACCTCCACCTCTAACCTCACTTAACTTTTCTCTTAAGGCATTTCTGTGATTACTGAGCGTGGATCTGAGTGGCGATGTAATGATGGCCAGTTGGCCATCCCAGAGACAGTCACTACCCTAAAGCATGTAGCTCTTCTCCCATTACCAACATAAGGCTCGGGCTCACCCGTACTGCCAATTTCCAATGAACCTCTGACATGAGGTCTTCAGAGAGCCATTAAAGGTCAACAAGTATTGCTGCCTGAAGTCAGTCAGAAGTCAAGGGTTCTTTTTCCAGATGTTATGCTCCATCCCAGCCCTGCCTTCCTTTTCATCCTGGGTGCCTCAATGGCAACATTAAGAAGGATTTTCAAGTGGACTTCACTGGAGATGTTCTCAGTAGTAATGACCCACCCTTCTCAAGTCCTTTTCCTAAAATGCCCATCCCCACCGAGAGAAGCTTTACCTTGAGGGAGAAGAGCAGCCAGCACCAGGCCTAACAGAAACCTGCTGTGCTCCATCTTTCAGCCAAATTCATCCAGGAGACCCAGATCACAGAGCTTCAGCCAGGATGAGAGAGGCCTGCCCCTACTGACTCATGGTACCGGAAAAAGTAAAGCGTGGGGGGAGGAACCAGCAGTCAATACTTCTACAGTTGATGGTGGGTAAGGGTAGAGGCTGGGGGTGGGGCGGGAAGGAAGCAGGTGTAGATTCTTTCTTTGTGCAGAGAACTTAGAGAGGAGGTGAAGGAAAGAGCAGGGTATCTGGAAACAATTTCCTGGTTTCTAGGAAGTGAAAAGAATTTTAGTATCATTTTTCCTAAGTTCCTGATGTAGAGCCAGAACTTTAGAGTCCTGATTATCAACATCAGTACATATTCTCACTACTTAAAAACTGGCCTCTCTCAAAGTCCCTCACAAGATGCTATGAACTCCATTGCACAAGACGTAGCGGCTGTATTCCTCCTGCTTCTAGCCTTTGTCAGGGCCCTTCACTGGACAACCTGGGACACTAGACAAAGAGGCTTCTTTCCAAGGGGAGTTTGGAGCTCAAAGCCACTGAAGCCAAAGACCTAGATTCTCACTCCACTATTAGTTTCTTTTTTTTATATTTCCCCCTACTATTATTTTCCTGTAGAGACTGGATGGAGTCGCTGGATGGTACAAATGATTATTGCATTCATCTGCTAACCAAAAGGTTGACAAGAATCTACCCTGAAGTCTCTTAAAAGAAAGGTCGGAAAAAAAGAAAAAAAAAAAAAGAAAGGTCTGGTGATTTAGTTCCAAAACTTCAATCCTTTACACCTTATGGATATGAAAATTTAAATTGAAAACCAGGTTACTAAGAGTTTACTTTGTAAGGTTTCACTCAAATTACAGTATGTGTATACACATATATACATAATATAAATTATAGGAGCAAAGTTCTATTCTGACATGCATGGGGCCACTCTGAGTTAGAATCCACTCAATAAACACTGGTTTGGGGTTTTTCAGTGGTGTCCATGTCTGCCACGTTGCTTTTGAGAGCCTCATTTCTCAGTGTTATCGTATTGATTCAAGCAATATGTTTGTATATACCTGATGTATCTTATATGTTCAGTAACATGGAGTTATTAAAAATAATGTCAGTTTTTAAAAAAAAACCCAATGTCATTGACTCGGGCAGATTTTAGTCTTCCCAGAAAAGAGTGCCCTCTATATCCAATGGCTTACCAGTATCTGAAGTCCTATCTGCCCTACTCAACTATAATTAATCTAAGGACACAGTGTCTGTCTTGCTCACTGCTGTATCCCAACACCTCACTTGTGTCTGTCACAAAATGAGTCTGTATGGGCTTTGGTGGCCTTGTGGTAAGGAGCTGGACTGCCAGCCTGACGGCACGTGGTTCAGATCCCAGCAACTCTGCAGTGAAGGATGGGCAATCTCCTCCCATGTGCTGCCTCTGAAAACCCACTGGAAGGACATCTCTGGGTTAGTTTCCACTAAAGAGTACTCAACAACAACATAGCCACTTAGGGAACGCTGATAGCGCTGCTAGTCCAAAGTTGTGCAGTTCAAATCCTCCAGTTGCTCTGCAAAAGAAAGATGGACAATCTCCTCTCTGGCAATTTATTGCCTCTGAAAATCCTCTGGATGATTAGCCATGCATTAGATTTGACTCAATGGTATCTAACAACAACGGAAGTACTTCCTGAGTGATAGGCTAAATGACCGACTTAGTGAGGCCTGGACACTCACTCCAGGCCCTGGCTCCTGGAGTGTGTTAACCTGTCTGGTGGAAATTGTTCCATCTATGCCCTTCCAAGCAGGCACTACTGTGATCATCTCATCCCAGAAGAATTAGTGAAGACCTGGCCTGAAGTGGCTTTTCATTCAGAGCTCCAGTTCCATGCATCTGAGGACATTGCCTAACAGTGCAACTCATTCCAGACTAAACCACTGTCGTCCTTGGTATTATGTACCAATGAGTCGGAACCGACCTATAACTGATCCTCTAGCAGGATTTAGGGGCAGTTAATCACACAGGAGGAGACTGCGCACTTTTCTCCTACGGAGCAGCTGGTGGACTTGAACTGCATGCCTTTGGGTTAGCAGCATAACTCTTCACCTTTATACCCTTTATAGGATATAAAGCTGACTAACACATTGTTCTAGCAACAACTGGTGATAAAAAACCAACCAAACAAACAGAAAAACTTATCTGCTCATGAACTCTGCTAATGGCTTTAGCCATCTCCCATCCAACACATAAGGTTGTTCTGTGAACACACAATCTCTGAGATGGTAATATAATCTCCCTATTCCTCCTGTCACCTCCACCCTCCACTCCACCCTTTCCCAGAGCAGGCTTAACGGAAAAGCAAGAGACCTCTGCACCTGCAGCTCTACTCAAACTCAGCCTCCCACACTTGAAGCAGCAGGAAGAGGCTCTTGACTAGGCAAGGGCTTGAGTCTGAAGGGTGGAGCCACGCTAGCTGCTGTGCAGCCCAGAAGGCTGCTAACGAAGGGCCGAAGGCGCTGCCACAGAAAAGGAGGCTGACATGGAGCAGGGGAAGCGGCTGGCCACCCTCCTGCTGGCTATCATTCTTCTTCAAGGTAAGTGCCTCCAGAGGAGCTCTGCAAGCGTAGGGCAGGGGAGAGGCTGTGAGAGAAGCAGAAATAGTGTTGAGCAGCTAACTGGTTTGAACGTACTAGCCACTCTGCTGGAGAAACATGAAGAAGTCTTTTCCTGTGAATATTCACAGCCTTGAAAAACCAACAGAGGGTCTCCATCAGCAGGCCGATTAGAAGGCAGTGGCTTTCTTCAAACATGCCTCCGCTCTCACCCTAAAGAAAGAACAAGGGTGAAAGCAAAGCTTCTTCTCTGCAGTGCTTTATGGGAGAATTTGGGCTCCTTATCTTTAAGAGATCAAAACAGAAAGCTGAACTGACTAGAGAGAGACCTGCGGCCGCCATCTTAAACATAATCCATAGAGGCACAACCTAGTAATCTGAAAGGAGAAACGTGTGGTCATTAGCTCAGAGCTGAAGTTAGATGATCCAGGAAGTATTCAGTCACTCAGCTGGCCAACTGGTCAAAAATATGACTGACATTCTATTATTAAGGGACAGGAAGCTATAAAGATGATTGGCCTAGTGGTAAGAAGCTGCGCTTCAATCTCGAAGTCACATAGTTCAAACCCACCAGCAGCTCCTCGGAAGAAGAATGGCAATTCCTCCTGTGCAATTTACTGTCTCTGAAAACCCTCCAGTACTCGCATCGGCAGCACATATACTAGAAATTGGAATGATGCAGAAAAGATTAGCATGGCCCATCCTCAAGGATGACTCTCAAATTCATGACGCACTCTTTTAATAAAAAAAAAACCACCCTCCAGAGGGTCAGCTAGGGGTCAGTTCTGACTGGATGGTACACAACAAAAACCCCAAGTTCCACCCCAAGGAACTCAGTTGAATGGGAGAGATAAGCTCAATGTTACCAGGCTGTAGGTGAGGTAAGCTTAAGAAAAACTTGAGCTAAAAGACAAGAGTAAGAAAAAAAAATAATAATAATAGAGTAAGGTCCCAGAACTAGGTGCTGGGAAAGTGAGGTCAGGAAGGTGGTCAAGAGAACAGAGGGACATGCAGTCTTACCCCATGTGACTAGGAGAGGAAAAGTATAGATGGCTGTGGTCTTGGGAGGACTTAACCAATGGAAAGGAAGCAAAGGCCTATAACAGCATCTGTCATTCTCAACAAATGAAATGAGAGGCAATGCTGCTGGCTGAAGCTGAGCAAGTGGAGGAGGACATCAAAAGTTTATATTCCTGAGGGAATCGGAGAAAGATCCAGATCAAGATAGCACATACTGAGAAGCAGGGCTAAAAATCTGTGTGCAGCAGGTAGGTACATTGGGGAAAGCACAGCACCGAGCAAAGAAAACTTGAGTCCTGGGTGCAGCTCAACCATCAGTGGCTGTGTGATTAGGAGTTCCCTCACTAGTCGACCCAGGAAGTTTGGCTATCTGACCTCTCAAGTGCTCAGAGGACTCAATAGGAAAAATTATCAAATATTCAATAATATGTTTGCTCCTTCTCTATGAAATCTCACTTAAAATAAGAGCTTTCTCTGTCCCTTTCATGGTGATCAGGTGCTTAAGAGAAAAGAGCTAGTTAAGAAATCTGCTTAATCGTGTACTTTAATAAATTTATTTATCCATTCACAGATTCATCCAAAAACTGGGCTGCCTACTATTTATGGCCAGCCCAGCCCTAGTGAGGTTCAATCATAGTCAACCAGTTCCTGGAAGAACAGAATGCTGATTGCACCATTTCCATCACACCTCTGCCCTATCACAAGCTCTACCTCTGGCATGTACTTATCAGAGCATGTTTCCTTCACCACCTAGTCTTTCTACCCAGAATGTCTTTGTAAGTTTGGTAAATTCCTTTTACTCATTCTTCATGGTATGTCAAATGTCACCACCTCAAAGATTTCCCTGTCCCTTCACCCTTGAACAAAATCAATAGATTTGTCTCTCATTCATATGCATTCATATATGTACTAAATTAGTACTTACAAGTTCTACTTTTTGTTGTTGTTATGTGCCGTCGAGACACCTGCGACCCATAGCAACCCTATCTACTGTAGCTCTGAACCCTTTCCCTTCCGCCACTAATTCCAACACACCTACCCCCATTGCCCTAGTTATGTATCAATCTATCTCATCCAGGGTCTTCCTCTCCTGCACTGTCCATCCACCCTTCTGAGCATGATATTCTTCCCCCAAGGATTGGTCTCTCCTGGCCACGTGCCCAAAATATGTGAGATGGGGCTTCAAAATCCTAGCCTCCAAGGAAAATCTTGGTTTCACCCTCACCAACACAGACCTATTTGTTATCTTAGCAGTCTATGTTATCTTAGCAGTTTAAGACTCTTCTCTAAAGATCTTCACCCTGAAACCCACAGCGTCCCTTTTCAGCAGGAAGTAGCTAAGAGAATACGCCATCCCCTTTTCCTTATGACTCAGGGTGAAGTCTCTCTCAGGGAGGAGTGATAGGGAATGGCAAAGGATACACTGACAAAGAAGATTAATCAGAACTGGCTTTGACAAGCACTGTGGCATTTGGACAAGAACAAACTGGGAGGAGGGTAGAGAGAATAGTGCAACAATGAACGAGTGGAAGCCCAAAATCTCTGTAAATGTTTATGAAAATTAATAAAATATAATTATAGGGGAAAAAAATACTCTTCTCTAGCACCACAACTCAAAGGCATCAGTTCTTCCTCTATCATCCTTGGTCACTGTCCAGCTTTCTGATGCATAGCAAGTAATTGCAAAGACCATGCCCTGGATTAGGTGCACCTTAGTCTCTAGACTGACATTATTTCTCAGCACTCTGGAGAGGTCTCTGACAGCAGCTTTACCTTATGCAATTCATCTTTTGATTTCCTGACTGCTGGTGCCAAGAATTTTTTTAAGAAGCCAGCTCAAACTCATTGCCATTGAGTCAGAACCGACTCATAGCTGACCTTCCAGCATGGTCTGGGGGGCTGTAAATTGCGCGAGAGATTTGCCATCTTTCTCTTATGGATTCAAACCACTGGAGAGGTGTCATGCTTGGGCTAACAGTGCAACTCTCTATAGACTAAGCCACAAGAGATCCCTTCTATTACATGAATATTATTTATATGCTTGCTTTTTCACTTCAAAAACAGTACTACTCTTTTCTTTGTAATAGGTGGTACAGTGCTTAAAAATGCTTGGCTGCTAACCTAAAGGTTGGTGGTTTGAACCCACCAGCGACTCTTTGGGAGATGTGACAGTCTCTCTGTAAAGATTTAGAGCCTTGGAAATTCTATGGGGCGATCCTACTCTGACCTATAGGGGGTCACGATGAGTCGAATATACTTGACAGTAGAAGGTTTAAATTTTTTTTTTTTGGTGACGTCTAACCAAGCCAAGGACATAGTAAGAGTGAATATTTGAATTCAGCAATTCCAGTGTTAAGTCTTTGAGCTTTGAGGCATATTGGAGGACTACTGGATAGCTAACTCTCCTGGGATATGTAGGGTTTCTGAATCAGTAAGAAATTAATCAGCAAGCCTGAGACATTAGAAGTAAGTCAACATTGAAAAAAAAAAAGTAAGTCAGCATTAAAAAGGTCTGGATTCTTTGGGCTGTGAATGCTCACTGCTTGTCCAGGGTTTAGCTGCCCATGAAGAAGACTACTATGGACGGTAAAGGCAACACCCTGGATCAACTGAGTGATTTAGGTGATGCTTCAGAGAAGTAGGAGAGATATTTCATTTCTGATCTTGGCCCTAATAATGATGGAAATTACATCTCAGGGCACCTGGACAATGCTGCACCCAGCTGATCTCTTTCTTTCATCTATTTCTCCAGGTACCATGGCTGAGTGGAAACAAGGTAAGAGAAATTTAGGTTCAAACTCTGATGAAATTCATAGAAATAATGACTTCCTACAATAATAGCCCTACACAAGTGAGCAATTTAGGAGGGATGAGACAGTGGGATGGAGGTGGGTAGCTGACCTCTCCATTATCACAACCATGATCTGTTCTAGGTTACTTCCCAGGAGCTGAGCAATTCTTTGTTTGATTCTTGATTCCTGTTGCAAAAGAAATAGGGCCTTAGTGGGAGGCATAATTCAAAACGTGGTCGTTGAATCAATAGCATTGGTATGGGGGCATGTCAGAAATCTCTCCCTCTCCTAAACTAAACACTACCAATTAGAAACATTTTTATCAAGATTCCCATGTGTCTCAAGTGTACATTCAAATTTGAGAAGTTTCGCTTTAATGGCCTTCTCCTAAAATTGAAGGCAGGGAGAATTACAGAGGCAAGACCCATAACAGAAGCATGGCTTTTCCCTTTTCAGCCAAGCCTTTTATAAAAGTGGATGACAATCGAGAAGATGGTTCAGTGCTTTTGACTTGTGAATCTGATGAGGAAACTATCAAATGGTTTAAAGATGGAAAGGAAAACAAAGATTTGAACACACCTAAAACTTGGAATCTGGGAAGTAGTACCTCAGATCCTCGAGGGATATATTCGTGCCAAGGATCAAAAAACACTTCAATACAACTGTATTTTAGAAGTATGTAAAAAAAAAAAAAAGAAGTATGTAATACTCTTTATTTGGTTGGTTGATCAGTTGACTGGGTTGGTTGGTTGGTTGGTTGGTTGGTTGGTTGGTTGGTTTGGAAATTAAGAGGTACATGCTGTTCTGGTGAGCTTCCCATGTGAGAAGAGGGTGAACTTAGATGCTAAGCAATGATATTGCCAGTTATCTTAATCTCAGCTTGCCTTCAGGTGAATATGAACAGACAGTTTCCTCAGCATAGACATTTCTTTCTGTAAAACCTGGCTTACTTTCGGATTGTCCCCATGGATTGAATCAGTTCCACTCCTGTAATCCAGGAATGTGGGTGGAGGAATTAGGGAGAATAATCACAAGGAGAATAGCAGTGTGGGGGAGCAGTTGGGGCTGGAGCAGGAGATCTGGGTTTCCTCTAAGTCTGTTGTTCTTAGCAGTGGGAGTACACGGGCTTCCACAGAACCCCTGAAACACTGTGAAACTTTAAAAAAAAAACCATTGAGTTCTGGATCCAAAGATCTTCTCAGGCCATTCTGCTGCTTTATCACCTACAGATGGAGATGCCTGCTGTCCTATACAGAGGCATTATAGCTGGTAGACAGGAAAAAAGATCCATGAAGCGCAACTTTCCCAGACTGAAGGAGGCTTGTCCCTGCCTTTTCTTTCTACAGTGTGTCAGAACTGCATCGAAATGAGTGCATCTACGATAGTTGGATTTATTTTTGCTGAAATCATCAGTATTTTCTTCCTTGCTGTTGGGGTCTACTGCATTGCTGGGCAGGATGGAATTCGTCAGTCACGAGGTAAAACAAGGTTCTTAGATAAAACATGTGACTGTCTGGTACCCTCTGCCTCCTTCCTACCAATCAAGATCAAATAGAAGATATTGAGTTGGTATATGCTATTAGCGTGTTTTGGATGAGGCCCCATGTCTGTGGAGCAGGAAAAAAGGATTGTGTGGTAGTAACACAGCATATTTGCCTATCTCCAGATCTAACTCATTCCAACTTGTGTTTGGATCTTAAAAACTTTTTATCAGAGTGAAACATACATCCAGAAAAGTGGATAAACCACACAGCATACAGAACAAAGCAAACACAACCCATGGAGCCTTCAGTTCAAGAAAATTACTAACAGTCTAGAAGGCCCCTCTCAGAGTCTTTTCCAGTCAATATTGATCTCTAAGAGTAAGCACTGTTCTGACTTCCAACTAATATGGATTAATTTTGCCTCATGTTGTTCTTTCTTTATTATATAGGTTGTATTATAAGTGCTTTAGTGTGTACCTTCCTTTCATCCAATAATATGCATTCAAGACCAATTCATATTGTTGTTTGTAGGTACACTAATTTTTGTTGCTACTTTCTAGTTCAACTTATTATCCATTCCATCTTTTTATTTATATGTATTTTGTCTTTTGTGAAGCTTCAGACAAACAGACTCTGTTGCCCAACGACCAACTCTACCAGGTAAGAGAATTACAAATTAAACAGACATTGGTGCAAATAAAGGGGGTAAAATTTCCAGAGCTGGGGCCAAGTTATGTGGAATATGCTATCTAGATTAAGAATTGCTTAAAGCAGACCAGATGATGGATAACTGTCCCTGTTGCTAGAATGAATGCAATTATATGCAAGGAAACTGTACCCAAGGCAATGTGGCAACCATTCCAAAGTCTGGCACAGAATGAATAAGCACTCAATAAACATGCAGCAAATTAGCTAACATACGACAGAGGAAAAACTGGCTTATAACTGTGCTGTCCTTTTCAGCCCCTCAAGGATCGAGGAAATGACCAATACGGCCAACTTCAAAAAAACCAAGCAAGGAAGAACTGAGATCAGGACCAGAGTAGGTGGGTCCTTCAAACAAACACCAATTCTAAAAAGTGCCTTTGTGTTATCTGTCCTAATGCTGTTGAACCTGTCTGTCCCCAACAACTGCAAGGCTTGGACTGTGGAATGGGGATGATTGTAGAAGCCCATTTCTACATAATCTGAACACTAGTGATTTTCTTGGCTTAACAAAATATGAATATCACAGATATGTAAATCCTTATAGAGCGAGCCTAAAGCAATTGAGATACTGAATATTAATATTAATTTCTATCATGGATTCACTATTTATATTTTGAGCTAGATAATATTTTGGGGCAGATGGCTATCCTGTGTATTTCAGGATGTTTAGCAGCATCTCTGGGCTCTATCTACTACTGCATGTCAGGAACACCCCTCATGACTCAAGAATGTATCAAGATATTACCAAGTGTCACCTCAAGGGCAAAATCACCCTTGGTAGAGAACAATTTACCTAAATTAAACCTTCAATTGATCAATCCATCCATCAATAAATGAGAAGTTTCAATCAGGAAGACAAAGACACAGTATTATTTGGTTTTCCAATTGAAATTAATATCTCCGCCCCCCCCCCCCCGCTTTAACCCCGGTATTATCTCCTCTATTCATTTATCTCATACTAGAGACTTTTCAGCCCTAAATATAAACCTTAGGTCCCTAAAAGTGACAAATGGAAAAGAACGCTCAGTAGAGCAAATTTGGGGTTTCTCAAAATTAGGCAGATAGACACAGAAAGAAAGGCAGATGTAAAGACATACACCGTGTTTAAGGAGCGCCACCTATCGGGAGATAACCTATTGGAACACAACTGGACTGCAACAGATGGGGTTCTCTCCAGATGGGCATTTAAATTAGCACTCCGAGGGTCTAGTGGTAACAAACTGCGCTGCAATCCCAATCCCAAAGGCACGTGGTTCCAATCCACCCCATTCTTGCAGGAGAATGTTGGGCAATCTCCTCCCGTGTGATTTACTGCCTCTGAAAACCCGCTGGAAAGTCAGCTATGAATCAGCGCCACTTCGACAGCACACACTAACAATTCCCAGGGTTAATCTGAATGAGGAAGGAGAGGGAAGTAAAAATTAATGGGTAAATTGGGTGAAAGGAAAGTCAATATACAATTAGGGTTGATTAGGCATTGTAATCAGTTAATTAATCACTTGTTAATGTTATAAAATGCCTATGAATGATTGAATGGAAAATCAATATAGCTGTAAACGTGCTCTCAAATAACAAAATACCCAACTCAACTCATTGCCATGGGATCATAGCTCTTGCATGTTTTCACGGGCTGTAAATCACATGAGACTGCCCATCTTTCTCCCACAGAGCAGATGTTGGATTCAAACCAGAAGCCTTTGAGTTGGCAGCACAATTCCTTACCACTAAGCCACTAGAGCACAAGACACACAAAGGTGCCGGTGCACACAGGTAACACAGAAAACTCACACACAAGGAAAATCAATAAATTTCTCTCTTTCACACACACCCACACCCACACCCACACCCCATCACACGTATGTACCACACTACACATATATACCACATCAAACAGCACACACACACTGGACACATACAACACACCATACAATTTTATTCAAAATACAATATGAACAAAAAATAACTCTAATCTTTTGCTCATGGTTGTGTATTAGCATCATTTTTAAAAAACAATTTTATTAAGATATCATTCATATGCCATAAAAATTGACCCATTTTAAGTGTCATCAGTTTTCAGTGATTTTTGGCAAATTTATCCAGTTGTACAACTTATCATAATTCCATTTTAGAACATTTCTATCACCTTCTTAAGCATTCCATGTACTGCCAAGAGAACAAACAAGTCTGTCCTGGATAAAGTGAAACAAGAGTACTCCTTGCAACTCATGCAATATTATTCAAAATGGTTGACTCTGGAGAACATTATGCTGAGTGAAATATCCCAGTCACAAAAGGACAAATATTACATGATGC